CACACACACACACACACACACACACACACACACACACACACACACACGCCCGAGGAGATTTTCTCAATCTGGACCTTTTGGAATTTTAATTGAATACCCCTGCTCTATGTGCTGTGCGCTGCATTATTCTCCGAAACGCCAGAGAGCGAACAAACAAAATGAACAGTGAAGAATCCAAAAGACAAGAGTGTGACTCATAGATATGCCCATAGACTGTAGGTGTAACTCGCAAAAGTGGGGCCACTGTGGCTCAGAAGGTAGAAGCAGGTAGAAGCATCCCTCAATCAGAAGAACGGCGGTTCGATCCCCGGCTCCACTAGTCCATGTCGATGTGTCCTTGGGCAAGACACTAAACCCCAAATTGCTCCTGAAGGCTGTTCCATGGGTTTGAATCCTTTGCTAGTCCTGATGGGCAGGTGGCACCTTGCATAGTAGCCCCTGTCATCAGTGTATGAATGGATGTGAATGGTGAATGATGACATGACAATGATGACATTAAAGTGCTTTGAGTCTTAGAATTATCTGTAAACCCATATCTCATATTTATGGACTACTTCTTTGCCTTTATACCAGTCCTGTAAAGAAACAAGTTAATATTACATGCATTAGAAAGAAACAACGGTTGAATATCCTGTAAACTATTTCATTTGGCTGCATAATATTTCCTCAAATCAAGATTTTTAAGACCGCTTCTTTATAAAGCATTTAAAAGCGATTTGGCCTTCTTTGTATAATCCTCTGACATGTAAATAGTGTTTTTATCAGTGAATTATTTGTGACAGTCACGTGATCCCGTGCGCGCCAAGTTACATAAATTCAGAGGGGCACGACCAAGGGCTGCGACCACTACGCACACCATGCGAACGTGCCTTTAATTTTGGTCGGGTAAGAAGGTTTCCAATAGCTGAAGTTATGATCAACTCAGGAAGGAGCAACAGGTGGGAATACAAAGAAATCGCATACTAAATAAGATGTATTAAGAAGAGCCAAGGTTAAGCCAGACGTGTTCTCACCTCATCCACTGAGCTGAGGTCAATGCCGTCTCCTTGAATGATTCGCAGGTAAGAGGGCAGAACCTTGTATCCCATGGAGTTCAGAGAACAGCCAAAACACTCCTCCAAAATCTTGATGACCTACAAATAGCATTTCAACAATTTTATTTTGGATTTCAATTCATACATGTAGTCATCAGGTGGAGCATCCTGACCATCTTACAACCTCATTGAATCATTGACTAGTAATGAATACAAAGGAGGTCAAGGAAGAAGACACTTTTCAACAGTTTCAGAAGAGAGGAATACTAATGGTCTAAGATAAACTGATTAACAATGACTACTAAGTACCTACAGTGATTGACTAATTGATACATTAAGACTTGGTGGGATAACCTGCCAAATATAGTCTAGTATCAGTCTGTATCTCCCAAGTGTCATCACAAAATACGGCATTAATAGGTAAAGAATTTAAATTAAATTGTATTCTTTGTTTCCTAATTAGAAAATCATGTGCATGATACAAGACGTGTCTGTTATGTCAAAAAGTGAATATATAGAGTGTCAACATGTTATATTGTCCTTAAACTTTGATAATTTCAGTATAGATGTAAGTCCTACTCCAGGTCTGTCCAATCACAACAAGAAAATAAGATTAGAGAAGTGGACAAATCAGTCTCTTATCTTTCTGAAAAAGTCTCATATCAGATGACTCATTCAGGCTAATTAAGAGATGATGCTGTGATGTTTCATCATTAGTTACTTATTAACTACAGATGTATTTTGTATAGCCCAATACCACTAATCCAAAATTTGACTCAGAGAGCTTTACAATCTGTAAGGGTATGATGTCCTCTGTCTGAGGAGGAGGAAGAACCCTTAGGGAGCGCAACAGAGGAGGGATCCCTTTCCAGGCTGAACAGGAGTGTGATAGATGCCATGTGTACAGAATGAACAGTTTTAGTCTTTTTTTTCTCGTGTGCATAATTTGGTCTATAGTTTTCTGTCTCTCTCCATCAGTCTACACCAGTGGCGGGCCATGCATTTTATACCTGGGCCTTCACTGCTGTCCTGCAGCTGAAACACAGCTACGGGTATTTTTTGTTTCATGTCAAAATGAAGCCAACACCTATAGATAGAGTGCGTCTCGTCTCTGCTCTGACTGCAGCTGGGACTGCTGCGCGAAGCGCCTGTGTGTGCTTTGTCACTAGTAGCTTTTGACAAAAAAAGTCGCCATGAGGGTTTGGAAAGTTGCCAGATTTAGCGAGAGAGTCGTCAAGTTGGCAACACTGGCACCGGCTAAATATGTCCCCAGAGCAACATTGGACCTAACAATGGTTCCTATCCCATATAAAACCAAACAAAAATCAAGTTGTACAAATAATAATATATAAACAAGCATATTAAAGCTACTGCAGATGTAAAAACAAACGCATTTAACTTACCAAAGCTGCTGTTTACTATTTAAAGACAAAGTCATCCTCCTTTCTTTCTTAACAAAGAGTTTAATCTGACGGTTGTTCAGTATATCCGTGCGTTTTAGTTCCAGTACGAAGTCCTTCTCGATTCATGGACGCCAGTGAAGACAGTCGAGCCTCTCCAGTTGTATTTCTTGAATACGTTTGAGGGCTGAAAATGTCTGCTCGACAGAGGCAGCAGATATTGGGATTGTCACCGCCCAACATGTCAGGCTAGCCCACTGACCAATCACGTACTTGTAGGCCAGCTAGCAGGCTCCGACACATCAAAGAATACGCCCAACATGTCAAACTAAAGATCTGATTGGTTGAACACTATGACAATCAACAGTATCGTCCCCATTCACTTAAAGTGCAAAGGGATTCACTTGAGAGTCTGCAGGCCTCGGGCCTCTCTTCTTACCTAGAGACACAGAGGTGAAATCTGATTGGATAAAAGCTCTACTTAAAACAAGCTGCACTGGAAGCAGAGCAACTGAGGAAGACAGTAGCTGTGCAATGAGAAAATAAAATAATGGGAAAAATATTTTTATAAATTATAATACATGTAGTGTATTTAAGAAAAATTATTAAATTATAAAATAGCTATAACTTTGTGATTCTGTTTAGGCCAGCAGAGAAGGCTTTGCAGGCCCTGACGGCCCACCACTAGTCTACACAAAGGACGACTAGTTAAATACACACTGTTAGTTAGAATACTCACCTCAGGACAGAAAGTAAGAGTAGTAGTAGTTTTGAAGCATGATATACAGTCTGTATATGACAATAGGCTTACTAGCATAACCACAACAGACATTACTGCACTCTGCTCTCTCCGTCTCTGATGTACTGACTTCAGACCAGCATTCACAACCACAGCCTGCTGCACTGCATCTGTAAATATCAGTGGTGGGCCGTCAGGGACAGCAAAGCCTTCTCTGCTGGCCTAAACAGAATCACAAAGTTCTAGCTATTTTATAATTTTTCATAAATACACTACATGTATTCTAATTGTTTTTCCCATTAGCTTATTATCTCATTGCACAGCTACTGTCTTCCTCAGTTGCTCTGCTTCCAGTGCAGCTTGTTTTAAGTAGAGCTTTTATCCAATCAGATTTCACCTCTGTGTCTCTAGGTAAGAAGAGAGGCCCGAGGCCCGCTAGGTAGACTTTGCAGATTAAGTAAATGGGGACGATATTGTTGATTGTCATAGTGTTCAACCAATCAGATCTTTAGTTTGACATGTTGGGCGTATTCTTTGACATGTCAGAGCGGTCTACGTGGCCTACATGTACGTCAGCATTAACGTGGGCTAGCGTGACTGTTGTGAAGCTGAAGCTATCTAGCAGAACTTAGTAGCAAGAGTAAGAGTTCAAGTTAAAAGATATGCAAGAAGTCATGACATTGACATGACATTTTTAGCGTTTTGCTTGGTGTAGCTTTGTTTTTTTAACACTCAATGGCTGAAGGAGGAGGAGAAATGGATTTGGGAGTTACTGACAACGCCTTTCTGGAGAAGGACATTTCAGGAAAAGCTGGACATCGTAACTCAATGAACACGTTCGCAGGATGACCTCTGGCTGGAACTGAACCGCACCGATGTTCTGTACAACCACGTCATTGAACTCTTTGTTAACAAAGAAAGGAGGATGGACTTTGTCTTTAAGTGAACAGCAGCTTTGGTAAGTGAACTGCTTTTGTGTTTTTACATCTGCGTTAGTTTGTCTATGGTGTTGTTTTTATGATATGGATAATATTGTTCCCTCTGATGTGAATAATATTTGAATGGCTCGTGCATTTCAGTGTGCAGTGGAATACGTATTTTAGCGCTGCAGTGTTGCTGGATTGATTTGTCATGCTTTGTTGTCATATGTGGCTGGTTCTTGTCATATTACGTTACGTTTGTGTTAATTACATTGATTTTGAATATATGCATTGTCCGTTAATAACGAAGCATCCCATCATGCACATATTCATGTATCCGTTTTCTTTTAAAAAGCAAGAATTATGGTCTGGAGAAATGGAGATTGTGTGGCGATTGCTTTAGCCCAGTTTCTCCGCTGCGGGGAGAGTTTTCAGCGTGTGTGCTGCTGTTGGATTTCCTGCTAAGATAATTTCCCTCCCAGAACACACGAGCCTCAGCAGAGTACAATGTTTTTCTTCTGTGGTGGGCGTGTCAGACAGCACGTTGTCTGTTACGTTGGGTGGGTTGCCAGGTTGAGTGCAGTGGCTCCACAGAAAGAGCATTATATTTCCCACAATTGAATCTACTGCATTTTCCAAATGCATTGGTATTATTCAAACGTATTGTTTGGTTCGTAAGCCTCATACCGAAAGGTTTAATACGAATACGTGTATTGTTACACCCCTAGAAACAAATAATAACCGTAGCTGTGGCGTCATAATGAGGTTATTAGGAGGCGGTTCAACTGTAGTAGGACAGCACTGAAGGCCCAGGTATAAAATGCATGGCCCACCACTGGAAAATTTTAGGTGCTAGCGCTATTTGAAAGCCATAAGGTTAACGTGAACTCCAGCTGTGGCTTCATCCGTGCTGCTTTGAAAAGACGTAACAGAGTAAAAGTAATGACTTATCTAAAAACAAAATCTACCCAAATATGTAAAAAAAAAAAAAAAAGATTAATTAGTTGAAAAAAGTTGTAAAAGTGCAATGTGAAATTGAAAAGATTTTAGATATCTATTTTGTCGATGTCTAACACTGACTAATCCAGCAGTTATTTACTTCAATCAGAGTCTCTGCGGGGTCTCCAGAGTCCGGCCGGATGACCAGACACGAGTCCTGGCTGCGCTCCATGACTCGCTCCTTCAGCTTGTCTCCCCAGATGTCCTTACAGGCGTTAAAGATGTCGTAGCTGTCGCTGACCACGGACACTGGCCCAGAGGAGAACTGCTCAAGGACTCGCTCAAAGGCCTCCTTCTCCCTGCTCCTCCCCCAGGAGATGATGGTACTGGATGACAGGAAGGAATTCATGAACTCACTCTTGTGGTATAGAGCTATTACAGCTTTTTCTAATTGATTATGATGTTGCCACAGACTACATTTATGATGTTCACATTCTAGTCCCTGATTTACATATATATATATATATATATATATATATATATATATGTGTGTGTGTGTGTGTGTGTGTGTGGTATACCTGTGCTCTGCTGCTGGGATGGAGAAGCCAGCCATCGGGCAGCTATAGTATCGCTGAGCCATCAGCAGCCCAGCTACTGTGTCTGTGCTGCAGAAATTAACCAGGTGAGCTGCTCCACCTAATGCTGCAGACTGGAGAGTGGAGGTGGAAACTAAGAATTACTCTGCTGCTTGCTTTTTTGAGTTCAGTTCAAACCACGCACACCTCAGAAAACACAGATTGTTTCTGTAGGTTTTGTAGTTGTTCAGTTGATGAGCTCTAAAACTGGTAGTAACATATTGTCTGCATGGGACAACTGATCTTAGCCCTGATCCTAGAACATCATACCATGTTACACCCACCTGACATCATTTTTAGGCCTCATTAGTGATGAAGAAGATTTGTCTTCCATCCGGCGATTTTGTATTTTCAATATTAATCAACACATTTTCTCATAAATTCTTACAAATGACTGAGTGACTGAAACGTACGTGTTCCTCTGATAGCCATCGGGGCTAAGCTGAACTGATGAAGGTTCCTTCAGTTACCAATGCCACGCCATCCATCCATCTATCTAAAGAGACATTAGGTTAACACTGCACTGACACTAATCTGCCTTCATGTTATCAACACACTGCTGCCTGGTTTTAAAAAGTGTTCACAGCAATCCGTCAATTGGAAGTGGGACCTAATGTTTGTTTATGTCAGAATCCTCTTACAAAGAAACCGTTTCACCAGCTCAGTTGTACCACAGACAAATGACTGAATTCACATTCCAGCTTTATGCTCATAATGTAACACTTTCCCTCTGACTTCCATTGAGGTCTCTTCATCTAACCTTTGTGCCTTCAATCAGTCATGTGACCAGCAAGATGTCGTAGCACAATGTGATAACAGCAGCATAGCACAGCCGTATAGACAAAGCAAATATCACAAGATGATCATTTGTCACACAGGACATGGACATTTCAATGTTCTGTGAAAATGCAAAGCAGTTACGTGGCACACAGCGTTTAAGGGATTTAAGATCCCATCGTATCCTTAGTGACAGTGATTATGAAGAAATCCTTTCAGTGCAAACACATTAGTAGCTGCAAGGTGCAAGAGACAGTCCATTCAACCTCACTGCTGGTTTCTCTCTAACTACTAAAAGGCAGAAAAGTCTTGCTGACCTCCTGTGAGGAGACTCCTCTGTAGCCAAAGTCATGCAGTTTCAGGTCCAGACCTTCAAGGCTCCCAGAGGTGGCTTTCAGGTGCTTGGCCAGGATCTTCTTAAACTCCCTGGATATGGTGGCTACAGTGATAGGATACCACATCTGGACCAGCATGGTCTGGTCAGGAGGTAGGAGTGGTAAAAGAGAACAGAGAGTTAGTGATCAGTTGGTGAGGAAAAGAAAAGATGACTGATGAGAAGCGAGAGGCTAGTTGAAGGGAAAGAGCTGCAACTGATGTTTGGTCAGGTCAGAGATTATAGCATTTATGACCTCCACTTAAATCTCAAAAATTACCACAGTAGCAGTACTGTGCAAAACTGACATCCTTGGTAAATACTAAAGTAAACATCAAGAAATCCGACCCTCTTGCGAAGGTCCTGATCAGACAGCACGTGTCCTTTTGGAATTGATTTCAATGAGAGAGAAGCGTTTAGCCTGATACTTTTTCACTCCTGAGTACCTGCTGCTTCTCTGCTTTATGTGCCTCACACTTTACCGGAGCCTATGATCGTTTTCATTCATTTAAAAACTGTACTATTAACTATTGGGTAGCATACATATCATGGTTTGTATTAATAGGCTCGTTTCAGATGAGCCAGTCCTGATCAGAATCGATCACCAGCGATCTCCGCACAATGCATGCTGGTTAGATTTATGTCCGACTTGATCCCGACTTGCTCCGACGTCATGAACACGTGGTCAACGATAACCTCACGAGATCGAGGCGGCTGCAGTTTTTAGAGCCAGGCGACGCAGTTGCTCTCCAACGACTGCATGACCCAATGCATGATGGGAAACGCCTGGCTGTCACCAGATTAAAGAACTGTATGGCTCTTAGATTTGACAACAAACACCACATTTTGTATATAAAATCCTATTTTGTGTAATTGTAATACTATTTACGAACTATTGTTGGCTATTTGTCTAATGTTGTGCAATAAAGGTTTCATATAAAAAGACATCTTGTGTGATTGATAATAATAAAGCTAATTCATACAACACATAAAAAGAACAAAAGGTTAGCATACAATGCATATACACGCAAGTTTCCACATAAATATATATTTACATACACACAACTAAAGGTCTGCAAACTACAAGTCTACAGATTGGATCTAACAGGAAGTAACTGTTTCTGTGACTTCCCGTTTATTCTTTGAAGGCGCACCCTGCTGCTGCCGCCGCCTGCTCTCGTCCGCTCTCTAGGCGAGGCACAGTTCATCTCCAACAAGTCTAATGTTAGCATTCATTTGGTAGTTGCCTAGTAACAATTACAACAAAAAAGACGCAGTGTACTGCAAAACGCTCCATCTGATCAACAGTGATGCTAGTGGCACCCAGCACTTCCTTATTATGTGCAAGGAATATATAACAGAAGGAAGGGTCACAACCTCATGGTGACAGCATTCTAATATTTTTAGTACAAGTAAAAAAGTCCAGATTTATAGAGCCATATCAAATTTGGCAATTAGTGCCAACTCAAGACAATGATAGGAAATATTATCGAGAGAGCTGGCTAACGTTAGCCATCCTGAATATTAATAAATATCACTTTGATGGTTGGTTAGTTATTGATAACAAATATGCTCTATTACAATCAAATACATGTACAATAGTAAGGGCTGGGGACCAATGTGAGATCAGTGATGTAATGACTATTTTGTGAAGGGGTTTACTTTCAAGCTAAAACAGAGATGGGCATTCATTGTGTCAATAGCCTGTTGTCCAGGAAGCTAACAGCCTATGATAATGTTATTGTTCATTTGTTAATTAAAGGAGTGTAATTATATGCACATCACGAATGGTCAAAGCTATCAAAAAAGTGATTGGCTCTTTCGTTAGTGTGACACTCTTATCTCCAGGGCTATTTAACAGAGGTGTGGAACGGTGTCACATGACATGGACTTAAGACACAAATTTGATGACTTTTGACTCGACACTATTCATTCTCAGCAAGTTGTACTTCTTTTAACAAACTTGCCTTCACAAATAAATACAAATTATAAAAAACATTGATCATTTTTGTAAATTATTATTCTGTTAAGATGTTACATTTGGCGAGGAGACCATTACGACTTGTTCAGGACTTGAAACTCAAAGTTTAGGACTTGGTACATGACTCAGGACTTGCCTGTCTTAACTCGGGACATGAGTGCAGAGACTTAGCAGTGACTTGCAAACAAATGACTTGGTCCCGCCCCAGCCATTTCAACCCTTTCACCATTTAAAAACATTGAACCCTAACAACACATTTCTGGGTTTACCTCAATGTAGTTGGTGAGCCAGTAGAAGTCGGGATCTGTGTTTTCCACAGTGAAGAGCACATTGCCTCTGGGTATAATCCTTCCCTCGGGGATGGCTTTGATCCGGATAGGAAGACGGCCATCATGTTTCTGACACGGTAACAAGCACATTGAACTACAGGTTAGATATATGATGACGAATCCATCTAGACAGACTCACGGTTGAACATCTCTTGGTTTACCTCGAGGATCTTCCTCCAGCTTTCCTCATCGAACACATCCTGTTTGAAGTGCATCTGGTAGAACAGCTTGGCTTCCTGAATCTTCTCCTCTGTGACCACTTGGCCTACAGACAACAAACCAGGGTCACCAGGTTATTACAAGATACTTCATTCCCAATATTCTCTTTAACAGCAAAGTGCCCATGAACTTTTCTTTATGGTTCTGTGCATTTATGTCTTGGATCAGAGGGTACGTGACTGTACCTATGAGGTACTTCTTCAGCAGATACTGAAGACCGAAGAACACCACTTCACTGAACTGGGAGCCTTTCTTGCGTCTGCATTCAAAGTAGGAGTAGATGTTGCTGACATTTGGAGGATACTGTTTGTAGTGTGTGATCTGAAAGACAAGACACGGACACAAGTCAACAGCCAGCTCGCAAGCAAAGTCCCAAAAACAGATTTCAAACATGTCACAATGTAGTTCTAATAATCATACTTAGTATGGGTAATGTGTATTCATCATGTTCTAATCTTATCACGCCACACAGCAACATATCACCCCAGTTAGCACACTGAAGCTGAAAAGCTGCTCAACGTGATGCTTGCATGTACAGTAAACATGTTTCCTGGATCGATGTGGGAACAAATGATGACGGCTTAAAGCACAATTCTCTCCTTGTGCCCTAATTGAATAACAGCAGCAACAACCAGTTAGTCAGTGGAAGAAATAGCTTCAAGAGACACTAACTCCACATTCTTCTGCCTCATCCTGCGTCCTATTTAAGTTCCATCTCCTTTCCTCCTTATCTTCAAGAGAACAAACTCAAAATGGCTTAAATCATTAAACATGAAAAACCCAGAACAGGCAGTGTCTTATACCAAGATTATCCTCTAAGTAAGATTAGCCTAATCGAGCGAAAACAACAAGTGAGGAGGGGGGGGAGAGAAAAAAAATGTGTACTTTATTTACAGGCTTAAAACATAGTCAACCAGTCACATACTGTTATTCTCAGAATATGTCAGGTGACTCATAAAAGCCATTATTCGACATGTCATGTTCTTGGACAGCTTTTTTAATGAAAAAAACTAAAGTTGTGCCCAACTTTTTTTGTCACAGCAGTGGGCAGCTACCATACAGTGGGAGCAGTTTGGGGCTCCAGTGCCTTGCTCAGAGGCACCTCAGCAGTGCACGGGAGGCAAACCGGCATCTCTCCAGCTACCACACTCTTTACCTAGTCTGTGCTGGGATTAGAATTAGTGATCCTTCGGTTCCCAAGTGCTTGCTGCAACGTTGAAAACCGTTTAAAGACTGGAAAACAAATATTCAGAATTCCCTGTAAATACACTTCACCCTGACAGATTCTGTACAGTACTGAGCAAAACAGGACTGTGGGCAAATTAAAATAAACAAAAAATGTATATATATATATATATATAT